AGTGGGATCAGCAACAGACTCTGAACCACATTTAGAGAGTTTGCTGCTTGAAACCATAGGGGTGGGCATAGAGTTAGCAGTGGACATGTTTACTCTAGCAAGCAAATCAGTGATGTACTTGGACTGAGAGAGAAGTAAGGCTCCATTGGGAAGATGATTCACTTGAATCCCTAAGAAATAGTCCAGTTGCCCCAAGTCTTTAAGAGCAAATGTGGTGTTGAGAGTTTTGATAAGATTAGAAATATAAGAGGGAGAATTTCCTGTGATTATTATGTCATCCACATACACTAAAATCAAGATGGTTAGGCTGTCACTGTGAAGAAAAAATAGACTAGGATCACACTTGCTTGCCTTCAGCCCAAGCTTGAGGAGAAAACCTTTCAGCCTATCAAACCAGGCCCTGGGGGCCTGCTTTAGCCCATATAAAGCTTTGTTAAGCTTGCAGACAAGGGACCTGTCATCAGCTTCAAAGCCAGGTGGCTGCACCATGTAGACTTCTTCTTCAAGAATGCCATTTAGAAAGGCATTGTTGATGTCAATTTGCCTAATAGACCACCTGTTTGAAACAGCCAGAGTTAGCACAGTTCTAACAGTAACCGGTTTGACAACCGGAGAAAATGTCTCAGTAAAGTCACTGCCAGCCCTTTGATGGAAGCCTTTGGCTACCAGGCGAGCCTTATATCTGTGAATGGAGCCATCAGGATGTTCCTTAACACGAAAAACCCACTTACAGCCAATAGGCTTAGCTGAAATAGGAGGAGTCACCAAGTTCCACGTCTGATTTTTCAAGAGTGCCTGAAATTCATCCTTCATGGCCTGAAGCCAGTGAGGGGAAGCCAAAGCTTGTTTAACTGTTGTAGGTTCCATGTGGGTTAAGAGAAGGGTGGGGTGACGTTTGGGTTGCACAATCCCAGATTTAGCACGGGTTTGCATAGGATGAACATTAAGGGAAGGAATTGGATGAGACATAGGAGCATGAGGAGAGCTGGAACCAATTGGTGAGGCAGAAGATGGCTGAGAGAAAGGAGAAATGGTGCTGTTTTCAGCTATGTCAGCCATAGCAGATTGAGAGGACTGAGGAGATGCCAAACTATTGTTGGAGATAGCATCTGAAGCTGCTGATCCTAGGACAGAACTAGATTGCACAGGAGAACCTTGGGTTACAGGGGAAGAAATAGGAGTATGGAGGGGCTGATTCATAGTGGGTGAAGCAGGAGGAACTTGATGCAAAGGGGTAGCTTGGATGGGAGGCAGAATAGGTGGCATGGCAGAAGTATACCATGAGTGAGATGAGGGAGCAGAGGTAGATGACTGGGATGGGAAAAACAGTTCTAGATAGGGGAATCTACCCTCATTAAAAAGGACATCCTTGGAGATGTAGATAGTGCCATTGGCAGCCAAACATTTGTAACCTTTGTGACTTGAGGAATAGCCTAGAAACACACACTCTTGAGAACGAAAATCCAGTTTGTGTGAGTTATATGGCCTAAGAAAGGGAAAGCAAGCACACCCAAATACACGAAGACAAGAATAGTCAGGGGATTTGTGCATTAGAAGAGTATAAGGAGACAAATTGTTAAGAGAGGTGCTAGGCAGTCTATTGATAAGAAAGGCTGCAGTGACAAAGGCATGATCCCAATAACGCATTGGGAGTTTGGAGTGTGCTAAAAGAGCTAAACCGGTTTCAACAATGTGATGATGTTTCCTTTCCACTATGCCATTTTGATGGTGTGTGTAAGGACAGGTAAATCTATGCACAATACCTAAGTTGGTGAGGTACTTGGTGAAAGGTTTGAACTCACCACCTCCATCACTTTGGACAGTTTTAATTTTGCAATTAAACTGAAGTTCTACCATGGTTTTAAATTGAATGAATTGGGATAGGGTGTGAGATTTTAGTTTGAGTGGAAAGACCCAAACAAATCTAGAGAATGCATCCACACAGGTTAGGAAATAGGAATAACCACCTGAAGATGACACAGGAGCTGGCCCCCATAAGTCACAGACAACTAACTCAAAGGGATGGTGATAAATGGTAGTTGATAAAGAGGAAGGAAGTCTGTGTGATTTGCCTTGACAGCAGGCAGCACATAGAGCATTTGGTGGTTTGGGAGGGAGAGGAATATTGCACAGTTTGAGTACTTCAGAGAGGGCATGGTGATGGGGATGGCCAAGTCTTGAATGCCATAGATGATATTTAGAATCTGAGATAGTTATATTGACTGCAGGATTAGTAGTAGACACAGAATATGGCTTAGTAAAATTTGAAATACTTTTATTCATAGTGGAAGGAGTATTACAAAGATCAGCATTACAATGTTCAATAGATTTTGTTGCAGATAGAGTACTTAGACAAGATGGACTAGGCTTATTACAAATGCTATTTCTATTAGGCTGAAGCTTGGACATAGCAGGATTAGCAAATCTGTAGAGACCATCAGCTCCCACAGTGCCATGAAGAAGAATCTCAAAAGAATCCTGCGATTTGACAAGACAAAACTGAGGATGGAATTCAAAGAAAACACGATTATCCTGAGCAAACTTGCTGACACTGATGAGATTCTTAGTGATATGAGGTACAAGCAGAAGTTTAGTGAGAATTAGAGAAGAATTAGGCTGTGTTTGTGAGGGAAAAGTCATAGAACCTACAGAATTAATTAACAAACCTTGGCCATTACCCATGTACACTTGTTCAGTTCCATTCAGAGATGAAGCATCAGACAAATTCGAAGCATCAAGTGTCACATGGTGAGATGCGCCAGAGTCAGGGTACCACCATTGGTTGCTGAAATGAGGATCAGATCCTGCAATAAAGGCTTGAGGAACAGGTGCTCTTGGTGGTGCTGAAGCACGGGGAGGAGCATAACCATACGCATTATAGGTAGGAGCACGAGGTGGCACTGCATAAGGATTGAATGGAGCTCTGGGAGCATTGAATGAGGGAGTTCCAGGATAGGAATACCTGTGGTAGCAGACAGATGCATCGTGACCAGATTTGCGGCAAATTTGACATGAAACTCTCCCAAATCGGCCACCACCACGACCGGAGCGACCTCCACCACGCCAATTACGTCCACCACGAGTTCCGTATCCTTGATTCTCAGCGTTTGCTGTAATATGACTGGTACCAGTAGGAAATTCAGAACTAGAATCCACACCAGAAGCATCTGTAGTGGACTGTGACGGTGCTGGTGATGATTGAGTTAGATTCACTGTAGCAGATTCAGTTAGGGCAGACTTACGATTCTTCTCAAGGCGCGATTCATGAGCAAGAAGACTCGACTCAAGCTCATCCAACGAACACATATCTTCTTTGCTGTTGATCGCCGCGACAATTGAATCGTATTCTTCAGGGAGTGCATCAAGCACTATTTCAATTAGGTTTCGAAAGGGAACAGGATCACCGATTGAAACCAGAGCTTCGCTGATTTCACGAACACGAACAAGAAACTCAGTGATGGTGCGAGAACCTTTGGTCAAGTAGCGTAGCTCAGATCGAAGTTGTCTCGCCTTCGTAGCAAGACGAGTGGTGAAGTGACGATGAACCTCAGTCCATACTTGCCACGAATAGGTGCAATCCACCAGTTTAGGAAGCAGCGAATCGGAGATCGTGCTGAGGAGCCAGGTGCAGATTAGGGCGTCCTGCTGTTCCCAATCGAGAAACGCTGGATTGGCGCCGCCGGTAACAGGATCGGTGCCGGAGAGGAGGCGCGGAGGTACAAGCGGTGTCGTGACGAATTGCTGAAGCTTGTGTCCTCTGATAACGCCTTCAATTTGTTGTTTCCACTGTTTGAAGTTCTTCTCATCAAGCTTCACCGAGATGAGATGTGACAGTTTGACATGAGAGGAAGGAAAGCTTCCCTCAGAATTGAAAGGAGATGCCATGGAAGCCCTAGATCAAGAAAATAGCTCTAGATACCATGTTAAGATAATAGAAAGCAGTTAAACTGTAACAGAATTGAATCACACTTCATTTCACTTAGAATCGTTACAACAGACCCATATATAGGCACTACAAGAAAAAAAGAGATTTACGACACATAAATTGCGACAGTTCCCACAAAACCGTCCTTATTCCTGAATTGCGACAGTTGTCACGACGGTTAGGCTCAACCGTCGTAGATTTTCAAGCATTATTCCTGAATTGCGACAGTTGTCACGACGGTTAGGCTACTTTTTTTTATTCTTTTACTTTCCCACTTTTTTTCAGCAACACAATATCATAATATCAACACAATATCATAATATTTTCAGCAACTAATATTTATTATTAAATTATAAACAAAATACAACAAATAAAAATATAAAAAAACAAAATAGGAGTAACAAACAAAATTGAAAGAGGATTAGGTTTTGTGAAAGAGCTTTTTATCCGATTGAAGCAAAGAACCACCGCCGGAAGTACGATGTTGCGCCTAGAATGGTGAAGCTTCCATTCTTCGATTCGACTCAATCTTCTTCATCTTCTGCGCGATCTTTGTATCATCCGAATATCAAGGTATATAAATTATTGATTCAATCTTCTTCTACTTCTTTTCAATTTTCTTTCGATTTTACCGTGGTGATGTGTTTCGGTTGAAGTTGCAGAATCAGTTGCATTGATGAAGATGATGAACGAATGAAGTTATTGATTCAGTGAAGATGCATTGAGGACGATTGAAAAACGGAAGGTGATGATGCTGTTTTGAGATAACCAGAAGGTGAGTTTTTCTTTCTTTCTGTGAATCTCCTTCTGAGTTTTTTGTGTGATTTTCTGATTGAATGAATCGTGAGCCAAGTGAGAGAGTGAAAGTTTTGTATGATGTAAAGGACTTGTGATGATAATGGTTTTGTAATGCTTGTGAACAACTTGTAATGAACATGATAGACTACGGTGGCTCCATATTCAGAATTTCAACCGCCGGTCACTGCAATTTGAGTGTTCATTCAGTATATTAAATCCATCCTCTTTGTCGAGAAAGGGTCTTGATGTTCATACTGTCCATCTCCATAGGCTACTGATGCGCTTTCAACATTTAGAGTCTTTATCCTTATGTGGTTGTACGGAGCTCAATGATTCAGGATTAACCCGTCTGCTAAGCTATGGTTCGAATTTACAGAAACTTAATCTAGATTGTTGTTTGAAAGTTACTGATTACGGGCTATCCCTGGTTGCTTCTAGTTGTCCCTCATTGACGTCAATTAGTCTCTATCGGTGTATCAACATTTCTGATGACGGATTAGAGACTTTAGCCACTGCTTGTTTATCTTTGAAATGCATAAACCTCTCGTACTGCTCACAAATATCCGACAAAGGGTTGAAAGCTCTTACTCAGAGGTGTCGTCAGCTTCAGGCAGTTAACATATCACACTGTGAGAGTATAAGAGGTGTTGGCTTCAAAGGGTGTTCAAAATCTCTCACACATGTAGAGGCTTGGTCTTGTAAGCTCAACCCAGAAGGGGTGACGGGAATAATTAGTGGCGGTGGTATAGAGTATCTAGACGTATCTTGTTTAAGTTGGTATCCCTTAGGAGATACCTTGCTTGGAATAAGATTGTCCTCAAACCTCAAAGTCCTTAACTTTCGAATGTGCAGATCTGTTTCCGATACTTCTATTGTTGCAATAGCCATGGGATGTACACTACTTGAAGAATGGAACTTAGCATTATGTCATGAGGTGAGGATATCTGGATGGCAAGCAGTGGGGTTATATTGTCAGAATTTAAAGAGACTGCATGTTAATCGATGCCGTAATCTCAATGATAATGGCCTGCAGGCATTACGAGACGGTTGCAGAAGTCTCTCGGTTTTGTACTTGAATGGTTGTGTTCACGTGACTCCTTTTGATAGATTTGAAATGAATATGATTTCATCCTGTTGTAGAACATGATTTCCACGTATGAAATGAACATGAAAAAAGGGTATTCTTTTGGTTTATTTGTTGTACGGTAAGAAATTTACTTTTGGGTTGTTTTGTATTTCACATTTTGAAGCTTGAAAATTGCTTATTCACTAAGAAGTTTGGAAGATTTATTTGTTGCTATGTCAAATTTAGGGGTGATTGTGTACGAGTTCCAATATTATCTTAGATTGGTTGCACATCATGATTTCCAAGGTTGGTTACACAGAGCTTGTGTTTTTCTCGGTGAAAGAAGTGAATTTGGCTTTGGCGGTTGATCTGTGATCACTTTAAAGACTCCCGAGTATTGTTGATTTTGGCTACGCGATGGAGTTGGCTTTGATGGCAAGAAGGTTCTCTGGTTTGTAGGCAAAAAATGGGGTTTGGTTTCTCGAGTTTTTCATTCTCAACATGAACTATATGAAGGCGTTAAGATTTCTTTTTCTTACTCTCTGTTTTTAGTTCATTAGTGTTAGATGATTCAGGCAAATACTCGGCAATTAAACAAGACACCAACACAAACACTGTTGTAGGTGATTGGTATGCTTTCAGTAAGCTCATTTTATTAACATATTCTTAATATTTTCAGTAAGCTCCAATTATATTGTTTTTTCCCTACATATTATGTCGTGTTTGAAACCTTATACTTTAATGTAGTAAAGCAACCTCCTATTAGAAGCCTTTATTTTCCTTTAGCATGTTTAGGATCTAATGTTTGTTTAGTGTGTTTTTTTGTTGTTGAAAAGAGACATGTCAAGCCTACTACTTATTTCGACTCGCATGAAAAGTTTATAATATGTGTAGCAACCAAAGGAGATAAATGAGTTGCTTTTTCTTTTAATTAGAGGTCTATTTTATTTTTATTACTGACTCCCATTTTCTTTTATTGATTTGATTGTTGTTGTTACTACTTTTAATTTATTTCATAAGTCAAGATGTTCAACTTTGTAAGTCTGTCTTAGCATATAACCAAATTTTATTTCCTCTTAATTTTTCACTCCTCTCTCTTTGTTGCAATGTATCTTTATATTTTTTAAATTAAAGAGATTATTTCACCGGTTTTAGGTCAACAGAGAACAAGTTGCTCAGAAAGGACTGGACGCCTCAAAGAATAGGGATGTCAAAGATAATACCGATGCAAAGATCTCTCGCACAAAAGGTGTTGAAAAAAAAGAAATCATAGAGAAAAAAGAGAAATACAATAATAACATAGATATAACATGGAAACTCTAAAATCGGAGAAAATCACAGCCGTCGTCAAATGACAACCAAAGAATAATACCATGTGAAAATTGTTACAACACATAATTTGATATTAAAATGAAATTTTTGTAATTCTCTCAAGTTGTAGCAAACCAATGTAAATATTAAAATGAAATTTGGCCTTTGATGATATTTGAATTTTTCTTGTTTATTGGTAAAATTTGCACTTCTTTTTACCTTTGATCACATTTTTTTGATATTATTGATGATTATTTGATATTAAATGTTTTTATTGTAATTAACTTTATTATGTTGAAAAGTGATAGAAAATAAAATAAAATACTATAAATAAAAAAATATTAAAGTAAATAATAATTTAAATATAATAGTAAAATATTATAGTAAAATAATATTATATTTAAAATTATTTTACTAAATAATAATTTAAATAAAAATATTATTTGAAATTTATAAATCAGATTACGACGGTTAAAACCGTCGCAATTTCTAACCTACGGCGGTAGAATAACCGTCGCAAATAACAACAAAAACAAAAACTAAAATCAAATTCACGACGGTATATAACCGTCGCTATCTGTTGTGCGTGACAGTTTTTGCAACCGTCGCGAAATAGGCTGGGGACGCACGATTCTGCGACGGTACTTCTACCGTCGTAGATTGTAAATTGCGACGGTTTTAACCGTCGTAATCAGCCAAAATAACCGTCCCAATCTATCATTTTTCTTGTAGTGAGGCCTAACAGAAATGCCAGCTCAACAAAGCTGAACTAACTAAACAATCTATATATATAGGCCTAATAGAAGAGTAATCTATATTTATCTCTAATATGTCTATTAACCCAAAAAAAAATCCCAAAACAAAATATTAGTATTGGAAGACGAAAAAATTCTAGATTTTTATTAAATGCTATTATATTAAGAACAAAAATTTGAAACAATTTAGTCTTTAAGCGTAATAAAATTTGTGTTTAAGCGTAAATAAAATAATATTAGTGTTTAAGAAAAGTGCTATTATATTAATAACAAAAAATTATAGATAATAGCGTTTTCTTAGTAATAAAATTTGAAACAATTTAGCGTACACAATTTTAAGAAATTTGTAAATTTCAAGAAAACAACGACGCTACTTTTATTAATGATGAAACCATTAAGGGTTTAATTTTAGGACAAAAATTATACTTAAATATAATTTAAAAAGTAAAAATAAAAATAATTTATATACATGTAAAAAGAAATTATATATTTATTATATTTTTATTAAAAAATAATAAAAATTACATTTAAAGAATTGCACATAAATTTTATCATAAACTTTTAAATCTGATCACCTTCATTGCCTCCTTACCGTAAACATATTAAGAGCAAAGAAAAATAATGAAAATATTAAGCAACTAAAATCACAAAAGTTGTTGAGGAATCAAATAACACGTCATTACTGCATTAGAGAAATTATAGGCACACTCAAACCATATTTTTGTAACAAAAATCCATAATATTTTTTTTAAATTTAAGAAAAAACATTTTTTTAAATAACTACTTTTAAAAAAAATAATTAAATAACTACATTTTCAAAAAATTTACTAAAATAACTATTTTTCAAATTAAAAAAATTCATCACACAGAGAAGACGTCATTCTGTGTGGTGCATGCATACAAAATAAAGAGAATGCGTCACACTTCATGGTTTGTCCTCCTTGTTGAAAATAATTTATATTTTAAGAATATCTAGGAATATCTTTTTATATCTTTTTTAGAGAGTATTTTAGTAATTTTATTATACCTTAATTTTGTGTATAAATAATCTGGTAGTAGGTAGGTCAATGCAATTCATTATTCCTTATTTTGTAGCCGTCATTAAATATATTCCTTTTGTCTTTCATCTCTACTTTGTGCACCAATAATTGGTATCAGAGCTCCGATTCAAAATTCACGGGAAAACACGAGTGAACAATGAGGTATTATTGAGAATCGTTTTTCTGATTCTGTGGGATTTGGGAAACACTTTTAGTGAATTTTGAGTGAATTGCACAAGGTTGAAGATGAACGGAAACGGCGATATAAATTCCAAGCTTCCAGCGCTTGATGGCAAAAAGTGAAATCGTTGTAAGATCCAGATGCGTGTGTTGTTTGGCTCTCAAGATGTGTTAAATCTTGTCACCGATGACTATGATCTGTTAGCAGTAGACGCGACAGGGGAACCGAAGATTAAACAGAAAGCGCTAAGGAAGAAAGATCATAAGGCGTTGTTCTACATCCATCAATGTGTGGATTCGAACGTGTTTGAGAAGATTGTTGACTCTAAAACAGCAAAGGCTACGTGGGACACACTGGTCAGATGTTACGGTGGTGACGCATCAGTGAAGAAGGTGAAGCTTCAGTCTCTCATAAAGCAATATGAGAATCTCAACATGAAGGACAACGAGAAGGTTTCTGAGTACATCTCTAGAATGATTCTGATCACTAATAAGATGAAAGCTTGTGGAGAAACTCTTTTTGAACAAGTAATCATTAAGAAGATATTAAGATCTTTAACTTCTCAGTTTGATTACATTGTGGTAGCAATTGAACATTCCAAAGATCTGAGCACCATGAGAGTTGAAGAGCTGCAAAGTAGTCTAGAGGCGCATGAGTTGCATATGACTGAGAGAACTTCTGAGAGGAAAGTAGAGCAGCAGGCTTTGAAAGTAACTTCTGGTAAGAAGTATCAGAAGCAGACTTGGTCAGAAGCCAGGAAGAAAACTAATGGCGGTCAAAGGTCAGAAGCTTCAAACTCTGATAGGCAGAAGAATGTCCAGAAGGGAAAAGAAAAGCCTGACAAGAAGAATGTTCAGTGTTACTGTTGCAAGAACTTTGGTCACTATGCCAAAGATTGCTGGTCAAACAAAGAAAGGAAGTCAGAAGAAGCAAATATAGCTAGAGGAGAGTTTGATGATGAACCTGTGTTATTTATGGCTTATGAATTTGATGAGGAACCGATAAAATCATCATTTTTTGATTCTGAAGGGGAAGAAGATGAATCTGAATATTCCGACTCTGAATGAGTGTTTGAATATGAGTCAGAATCAGAAGATGACGTTGAAGATTCTGAAGATGAGTCAGATGGTGAATCTGATTCTGATCCAGATTTTTGATGTTGATCTAAAATCTGGCGGTGATCATGCTTCTAAAAGGGAAAACTCTGAAGACGTAGGTTCTGGAGGACAAACATCTAAAGATGATCATGTTTCTGGTGGAAATAATGAATCTAAGGATTGACCTTCTGAAGGAGGAGCTTCTGAAGGAAATTTTGGTGATCATAATTCTGAAAGTAGAACTTCTGAAGGTAGAGGTGATCCAACTTTTAAAGATGGTATTTCTGAAGGTAGTGACTCTGACTCCGACGGTGATTCAGACTCTGGGGATTTTCCAGACTCTAATGACAGTCAAGGTTTTGGAGAAAGTTCAATTTCTAAAACAAGAGCTTCTGAAGGGGAAAGTTCTGGTGTCCGAGGTTCTGAAGTTCAAATTCAGAGGCAACAAAGAGTCAGAAGGGTCCCAAGCAGATTTGCAGAGTTTGATATGTTACAAGATACTGAAGTGGACTCCGAAGGAGAAGTTATTCAGTGTTCAATGTTAGTAGACTTTGAATCCATAAGTACGGAAAAGGCTCTTAAGCAGCAAGTCTGGTTGCAGGCCATGAAAGAAAAACTTGATGCTATAGAGAGAAACAAGACTTGGAAGCTGACAGAACTTCCAAAAGACAAGAAAGCCATCAGCGTCAGATGGGTTTTCAAGCAGAAGCTAAAGCCAGATGGATCAATTGACAAACACAAAGCAAGATTAGTAGCAAGAGGCTTTCTACAGAAGCCTGGGCTGGATTATTTTGAAGTGTTTGCACCTGTAGAAAGCCATGAAACAATCAGACTAGTGATTGCAATAGCTGCTAACAGAAATTGTCCTCTGATGCATTTAGATGTAAAATCTGCATATTTGAATGGTCCATTACAAGAAGAGGTATACGTGTCACAACCTCCTGAATTTGAGAAAAAGAATCAGGAAGGGATGGTGTTCAAATTACACAAAGCCTTGTATGGATTAAAGCAAGCGCCCAGAGCCTGGAATCTAAAGATCGATTATTTTTTCAAGGGACAAGGGTTTCAGAAGTGTGAGATGGAGTATGGTGTTTATGTTCAGCACACTTCAGAAGGTAATATGATTCTGGTATGTTTGTATGTTGATGACATATTGCTAACAGGAAGTTCTGAACAAGAGATAGTTGAATTTAAGAAGGTTCTGATGAATGCGTTTGAGATGACAGATCTTGGGAAAATGGGTTTCTTTCTATGGATGGAGTTTATGTATTATGAGAAAAGAATTATTTTGCATCAGATGAAGTATGAACTTGAGCTTTTGAAGAGATTCAAGCTAGAGAATTGCAAAGTTTCTATCACACCTGCTGATACAAATCAGAAGTTGGACTCTGATTCTGATGGAGAGGATGTGGATGTTACAACCTTCAAACAGATGGTTGGTTCTCTGAGGTATTTGTGTAATAACAGACCTGATATTTGCTATGCAGTTGGAATGGTTAGCAGATTTATGAGTAAATCAAAGTGGTCTCATTACCAAGCTGTTGTCAGGATTCTGAGGTATGTGAAGTGAACTCTGAAGTATGGAGTGTTATTTCCTTCTGGAAGAAAGATCGAATCAGAACTTCTAAGTTATTCAGACTCTGATTGGGATGGAGATAGAGTTGACAGAAGAAGCACTTATGGGTACTTATTCAAATTTCTGAGAGGTCCTATTTCTTGGTATTCCAAGAAGCAACATGTTGTTACGTTGTCAACCTGTGAAGCTGAATATATTGCAGGAGCTCTGGTTGCATGCCGAGCTGTGTGGATTCTGAACTTGCT